CCTAAAACCGTAAAACCCTAAAGCCTACACCCTAAACCTAAAGCCCTGAACCCTAAGCCCTAAAACCCTAAAGCCCTAACTTTTCCGACATCAGCCCAGAGCTCCTCCACGAACTTCCGCTCCACTGCGTGGGCCGCGAAGGCCATGCTGGAGAAGTACTCGACCTCGGTTTAGGGTTTAGGGTTTAGGGTGTTTAGGGTTTAGGGTTTAGACAAAGCTCTGTCGGTGTGTGTCTTTGAAGGGTTCTTCAAAGGGATCTATAAGGGCCCCTTCAAGCGATCAAGAGTAATATCGTACCATAATCGGGATCTATAGTACCTACAGGACCTATAGTAAATAATAAAGCTCCTTTATTATGATAACTTAAAGTAAGGCCCTATAACAAATAAGAAGGCTCCCTTATTATGATAACGTAAAGTCAAGCCCTTGAAAAGAACCCAGTCCAGCAGGCAGTCTTCTATCCACAACATCCCCTCATACTTAAAGGATCATGAGACTTAGTAAGTAGGGTTATAGCTAAGGTAACTATACTTATAGCCCCATCTAAGGGACTTATAACCTTACTTACTAAGTCCCATGATCCTTTAAGTACTACCTGATAATCCCAATGTGACTTCAAGAGAACAGACCCCGAAACCCTTAGACGAATAGTTTAGGCCCCTAGGGAACCACCAGAAAACCCTGCAACAATGCTGAAGGACCCCATAAAATCCTGAAAACCGTACAAAAGCCTGCAAACACCGTCCGGAAACCCCCAAACATGAAGCAGTCGGCCGGAACGTAGCGATCGAAGACATTGGCTCGCACCAGCGAGACCTGCAACGAATGGAGGCTGGCCTGAGCAATGGCAGGTTTGGTTTTGAGTTTTGGGTTCATGGTTTCGAGCATCTGGTGCGCTGGTGCGCGAGATTCTGGAAAACAAGTACCATAGCTTAGGCTTTGGGTCGATGGATCTTAGTACATACATAAGCATGTACATATACACATACACATACACATAGTCAAATACATAAGTAAGTACGCAGGCAAGTAAGTAAGTAAGTAAGTAAGTAAGTAAGTAAGTAAGTAAGTAAGCAAGTAAGTAAGTAAGTAAGTAAGTAAATAAGTAAGTAAGGCAGTAAGTAAGTAAGTAAGTAAGTAAGTAAGTAAGTAAGTAAGTACGTAAGTATGTAACTATGTAAGTATGTGAATATGTAAGTATGTATGCATACATGCATGCATAGATGGATGGATGTGTGTATGTGTGGATGTAGTTATGTATGCATGTATGTATGCATGCATGGTTGTATGTATGCATGTGCATCCATGCTTAGATAGATGTATAGATGGGTGGATGGATTGCTGGCTGGATGGCTGGATGGCTGGATGGATGGACGGACGGATGCTAGTACACAGACTATGACATATCCTGTACAAGCATAACATATGTCATGGCCTCCAGCATGAAGAGTAGATTCAATGGAGCTTGGGTCACATATAAAGCATACCGTATAGAAGACCATGGCATGCTTTGCGAATTCAGCCTGCGATGGCATAGAAGGCCATAGAAGAACAGAAGCCAATCAGTGGTGGTGCGCAATAGGACACGATATCCTTGACGAGGCTGCAGACACATGACAAATGAGACAGAGTCGCATGCCCCAAGGTACTTCAAGTTAACCAAATGATGTTTAGAAATAGGCTACTCGGCACACAAAATCAGGACGCAAATCATCACACAATAGAAACGACAACCAACAGTTTGCATACCCCAGCCACCACGACAACGATGCTCATAACCCACAATCGTAACGGATCCCATAGTGCACCAAGGCAAACAGAGTGGTTCTTGCATCTACTTGTAAACCCCAACCTAAACTTCAAGCCCCAAACAGTAAGGTCGTCGACCCCACACCCTCCATCTAAACCCGAATCACACAACCGAAACCCCGAACCCTGAACATCTATGGCAGAAAGAACAATCCGAAAAACAAAATTCTGGACCGCGAAACCGTGAACCCTTATAGGCATTATAAAAGCCTCAAAGGAACCCTTTGCCAATCCCTAACCTTGCAGAACAGGCGCTCCAAAGATCTGGTGCTGCTCCGCCCAGCTGGACATCTGCCCTGCACCGATGTTGAGGGTTTCGGGTCTGGGGGCTTGGGATTTAGGGTTTCGGGGTTCAGGGGCTTAGGGTCAGGGTGTAGTGGCTTACGGGTTGAGGGGAGTTGAGGCCTTGGTGGTTTAGGTGTGTGTTGAGGTTGTTGAGGGCTCAGCGGTAGGGTTTAGGGTTTAGGGTTTAGGGTTTAGGGTTTAGGGTTCATCTGTTTAGGGGTTTACTGGTTTAGAGGTGTTCAGGGT